GAATTGCTTATAACTCTAAAACTAATAAGAAAAACGTTATAGCATGTTATAAAAATCTTCTTCTTTTGGAAGTGTATGTCTGAATATGCACTGAAATAATATGTATTTGATTTCAAAATGGTTTTGGCGATTTTTAAGGAATATTCAATATTTTATTACGTATTGATATAACATACTATAGCACTGAGATGATTGATTGCTGAGCTATAAGAGACTCATAAGGTACATAAACGCTCAACTGATGAAGGCTGCAAGATCGCCGTTTTAGAGGACAGTGATTTTATATTATAAGAGCTAAAAACCCATATTCTATTTGAAAAAATATTTTAACATGGTGCTTTGCCGTAATATTAAAGTTTCTAACTGCTGCTAAAACATTTTTTTACACTGAAGCAGCCGCGTAGACAGAACCCAAATACCAGGATATCGCAGCTGCTATAGGAGTCTTAGAGAAATTTTGTTACTCCGATTTTTAAACTGTCTAAGGTCAGTAGAACTGGGAAAAGCCTCGTCAGCTAGATTGTTCCACAATCTTTGGACCCTAGGAACAAAGGAGCGATCTTTCGGTCTGTAGGATGTGCGAGTTCAACACGGCCAGGATGGGAGGCCAAAGTCAGCCGGGTCTGTCTGGCAGACATATCACGTAGCGGTATCATGAAGCAGAGCTCTGAGGAACAAATGTCGTTGGCGTAGCGGTAGAAGAGAGCTAGATCGCCTACAGGCTGCCGGTGTGATAAGTCATCGATCACTCGGTCAGCCCTTCTCTGAATAGCATCGAGCAGAGATGATGTAGTCGGGGCGGCAGCACCTCAAACATTTATGCGAGGTACTATTTGGGCTTTGTACAGAGTGGCAGGGTCATGTGGAGAAAAGTACTCCTTAGTCTTACACAAATAATACAGCTTTTCTTAGCAGCTGCCGCTATTGACGAGATGTGTTCGTGCCAGATCAAGTCCTCGCGGATCTGGAAACAGACCAGCCGAAATTAACAGCTTTTTGCTAGAACTCGGCCATCCAACGAACACACATGAGCGCTAAGACGCTTCTTATTCGTCAAGGTACAGTAGCGTGCTTTGGAAGTATTAAACTGTACAAGCAGTGATAACTTCCAGGTCTCTGGCCATAGAGGAAGTCGCTGCTAGTCTTCTTTTCTGCAGCTCTCCGGCAGAGATCGGCACGGGTATTACGTATTTTGAAAAGTGAAATTTCGTCGCTTTTTATTTGATATTTCGTAGGTTTTTTGTGACATATCGTAGGTTTTTCTACAAGATGTCAACTTAGCACAATCTGTCGTACTCGTACACTTGTTGTGAACTTGTTTTGCAACTGTACGTGTTACTTAAACGTCAACGAACAGCGATTATAGCGAGCAAACGTAGAATGAACTGTTTTGCACACCAAAAACTACTCGTCTCTAAGATGACACTTCATCGGGTTTTTATCACGACTCGTTCAAAAAGGTATCGTATATTTGTTGAACTTGGAAAAAATATTTTATTTCATCAAATATTCTGTACGAATAAGTCAAAAATAATAAAAACTCAGATAGGTAAAAAGTTGAAAATATACGTAATGGCTACGGAAGAACTCCATAAAAAGCCCTTCAGGCATACTGAATTATGATATATGTATACAAACAACCATCTCTTCCTTTCTCGAAAACCCCGAGACCATTCAATTTCCTTTTATAGTCATACCTTCTAGACAGCCCAACGGACTTATTTCTACATGGCACTTTCTAAATTACCTTTTTGGCTTTACGCACCTTCATATTATCGATTATCTTCATGTTGAAGTTTACCCATATGCTACGAGGCGTGAAAATATATCCGATGCAATCGTGAAATCGAAAGCCGTAAAGGCATCCATAAGTTCGACTGTTTACGCTCATCTTCCGATGGGCTTTAGTTATTTTCCATCTCATTCAGCACATGGGCGTTCCGAACAATATTGTAAAGTCAAGAATACAGCAAGTCGTACAACACACATCCCATTCTAGTTACTCATGGAGCCAATATAGCAGGAGAAACTACGGCAATGTTGTTCGTGTTGTAAAAAAGAGCCCACCCGGAGTGGTGCTTTGACAGGGTTGTCATGTTGGGGGATTTTCTCCTATGAGGGATTTCTACTCGAAGAATTTTTTTGAGATATAATGTTCTGGTAGAAATTATACGTTTTGTGGAAAGAAAACATCCTCCCGCTTTGCGAACCAAACCCCTTTCCATTAATTAACAGTTATTTGGGGATTTTTTTTGCATACAAGACACAACTTTGAGGGATTTTTGTGCTTGTTCTGGGGACATCCCATCCGACTCATCTGGCAACGCTTGGCTTGGACAGATCCGCGAAAATACCCGTATAAGTCCCGGCAACTTGAGTCTACAGGGAAAAAAAAAATTGTTTGAAGGCTTGGGTTCAATGTGTGCGATAGAGAAGCGCGAGAAGTGTGTATCAACACATGCTAGAAAGAGATATAAGCCCACTGAAGAGCGAATATCATCACCACATTACCTGGCAATGGTGACACAGAAGGTCGTTCAACCTGCCGCGTTATTAATATGTTACGCCAGAAAATCGATCCGGAATCGACCCTAAACAGATTCGACACAATTCAGAATTCAAAAATGTAACTAACGCATATTTTCAACATGCATGTCAATTCAAGGAATTGGTGCAAAGTACTGGGAGCCGACTTCCATCTCTATCGAACATATGTGTTTATTCACACTTCTCTCTGGTACACATTCAACTCAAGCCGCTAGACAAATTTGGTTCTAGGTGTATATCTTCTTATCAATTTGTGTTTTGTCAATAATCCTATACAGTGTTCTTCAGAAAACCTCCAATTACTTCTTCATGTTAGCAAGCTCGTATTTCAGAGTTGTGACATTGATGCATAAATACTATATTTTGACGTAAATATAAGGTTCGAAAAATTTTTATATGGGATCTGGATTTTTCAGTGAGTAATCCGTTGAAATCTGAACAACACACAATAATGCTGATGTAAAGCTTTTCTGTCAGTTTGACTAATCTTTGTGAACTAACGAACGTCACTCCCTTCTTACCAACACACGCTCATCGGGCGTACGATTAGGAGGTACTGTGATAAGCAATTAGATATAGTTTTTTAAGTTAATGGAATCTGTCATGTCATTATTAATTGTTACTGCCCACAACACGGTTTAGGAATTCGACTGTTTGTATGCCCACAAGTAGGTATTTTCACCGACAGATGGTCCATTACGTGTACATGAGTATCCTGACAATTATTGGAAAGAAATTTATTTAGTGAAATGTCGGCGAATTGGTACATTATATACGCGTAAGCAAGAATACTTATCAGAGATATGCATTGATGAGCCCATTAGTTTGATAGTGATAGTTTGATTTGGTGTGGATTTTTTTATAAACGTTGCATGTTGCCGCACATTCACAGACTGAGACCTATTCTTGTTATGTCTGACAGGCGATATATCAGGTAACCAAATAAGTTCGTGCGGTTGCTGTATATCGCACGTTGCCATGCATGCTGTTGATCGATAGCGATTGTTTGTTACCTGTTGTCACTTTAGTATGAATCCTTCTTTTCTCACACACATAAAAAGTTGCTGAAAATTGTGACATACCTAGTTTTAATAATTGGAATTGGCGACGAATAAAACAGTAATTCGAAGTTGTTTACTGTATGACTACAAACTTGGTACAAAAGTTGCAGCGGCGGCGCGAAAAATATGTACGGCATTCGGAGATGATGTCGTTAGTGATCGAACAGCACAGAAGTGGTTCAAAAAACAATCTTCGGGATATCTCAGTCTGAGCGATGAACCGCGTTCAGGGAGGCCAAAAATCATGAACAACGAGGATCTTCTACAGGTTGTGGACGCAAAATTTCAGAACAACGTGCCAAGAACTTGCAGAAATGTTCAGCTAGGATAGACGTGGAAGTTAAGCAAATGGGTCCCACATGAAGTGACAAATGATAACAAATTAAGTCGTCTTACCATCAGCAAACATTTCGCGCAACGCTAATGAACCATTCGGTTATTAACCTGCGACGAAAAATGGATCTTGTATTCCAAGTTGAAAAATGCTTTTTAGCGACACTTCGCCTTTTTATACTTTGTATAAATAAAGCCGGATTATTATTATTATTATTATTAATTCTAAGCGCTCGTATCATTGGTTGTCGCCTACTGATTCGGTACCATACACGCCCAAGGCTTCATTGCACGAAAACAAGATTTTGTTGTGTGTTCGGTGAACAGCAACTGGACTTGTCCATTATAAGTTTTTGGAAAGCAGTCAAACCATCACTGCTAACTTGTATTGTGACCCAGCTTCAACCAGTATAAGCAGCACTTATCCAGAAACAGCCTTCTTTGATCTGTCGGAAGACAGTGATATTCTTGCAGGATAATGCCAAGCCTCATAGCGCAAAACTGACTCGAGAAAAAATTTCTGAACTCGGCTGTTAAACGTTACCGCACCCGCGATATTCTTCCGACATTTCGCCTAGTGATTATCACCTTTTTTGTCTCTTGACAACCATATGAGGCACCGACAGTTCACAACTCGAGATGGTGTAATAAATGCAGTCCGCCAATTTTTTGACTCCAAGTCCAGGGAGTTCTACAATACTGGCATACAAAAATTGGTTCCACGTTGGCAAAAGGTAATTGAATGTGATGGTAATTACTTCGATGAATAAATGTTGAATGCAGAACTAGCTCAAGTCACAAAATGCTAATTTTACAGGAGATCATTTTTTCTGATTTTGTCTTAAACGTCTCGCAAGTCTTGAATGAAAATGTGTTCATAATATGAGTATACTTGCATGTGTTTTGCTCTTTTAAGGATTTTTTTATTTAGGTTTACAAAACCGAAATTTGTGGACAAAAATTATAATTCAGTATCCCCACCAGATCAACTATTGCTACCTGATATATAAAAAAGTGGTAGTATTAAGAAACTTTTTGTAACAGAAAAATGATGAACTTCTATTCTGAGTCGTCTTCCCTACTTACGTTGGAATACTGTAAGTTCTTGTAGAAACTGCGGTACCGAGTAGGTATAGTCCCCTTGTCACATAGGAATTGCAGATGATCATACTTTTTTTTGCTGATCGAGATAGCACCCTTGTAACATTGCTTTAACTGTATATTTTTTAGATCAAGATCAATTGTCCTCCTGCCTTTTGTTAATAAATCAATTGTTCTGAACGGTTCATTGTAGTCGTATTTGAATAAAATTTTATTTGGAAATTTGAGGGTTCCCTCTAAAATTCGTATTTTATTTGTAGAAACCTTCTCATTTTCCACATCACGATCCCAATTCAAAATGGTATCCTTGGCAAGCGCTTTCAAATCAAAAAAATTCTCTTTGTCCATCTCAGTTACTACATACGGTTTACTTCTTTTTGCGCTGCGTACTAAAGTATACCACTGATCAGCGGTAAATAAAGGGATAAGCTTAGATGCTCGTTCAATTACACTATGCATCGAATCCCCTTCGGTTTGCGTATGACCTTTCTCCAAAAATGTATGCCTTATCACAATATTGTGCTTCTGTGCTAATAAGCTATACGTACTAAAAATATATTTGTTTCGATTTTGACCTCCACAATTGTCGGAATAGAAAGAAAATTCTCTCGTATCTTCATGTACTTTGAGGTCGATAAAACGCATCAAACAGATGCCTATTTCTGAGCTTCCCCTTTTCCCAACAGACTCGTACCACATGTAACAATGTTCTTCAGAATTTGCCAACTTAAAAATCGTGAAATTGTATGTTGATAATTCAAGTTTGTAATATGCCATACCAACATTACTTTTGGGGAGAGGCAGTATTTGTTCCAAATCAAAAACGGCTGCACAAAATTCTGTATTTTGCTTAGCCGTCTGTTTATCAGCATTCTTTAAATCCCGTCCAATGTCCTTGTTCTTTCTGTGCAACTGGTATTCTTCTTCCATTTCAGTTCTTTCTTCTGTTGTTCCGCCATCATACTTGTTGCAAATATCATACAAATCTTTTTTAGGGATGAAAAATGAGAAGTTGAATTCGGTGTTGAAGATTATTCCGTAAATGCTTTCTGTTGCAGGTTGGATGTTGTTCTGCTCACAATATTCAAGATAAAGGCCATACATCTTCGAAATATTAAGCGTTGGTGGCAGAAATTGCTTTGAAGTGTTTTTTCGGCAGTAGTGACTCTCGACTGTTTAGAATAGATTAATGTGGTCCCTCACTGACTGCTTTATTGAATCACTCAATTTAGAATTCTTGCATGCCTTACCACACCGCTCTGCCCCGACTATACCGGTGCTACCCATTTTTTTTGAACACTGTCTTAATGACCTGGGCGCTTATCCCTAAAGTATTCATAAAAAAAGTTTTACAGACCGCTATTTTATCTCTCAAATATCTGTTTCCTCTCTTCTTCTGTGAACTTTTCGCTGCACTTTTGTCTGCAGTTAGTACAAGGAGGTTTTGGTTGCCTTTTTGGACGGAGGTTTCCTCTCCAGTCTATATACTTCTCGCCAAGATTCCGCAGCTTCTTTATTTCATTTCTTCTCTATGCACTCGGATTCCTCTGTCTCTTCCGTGTATTTTTCTTGGTTTTCATCGGCTCATTTTTATCATCATGTTCTGATGAGTTTTCGATATCATCTGGATCTCTACTGTGAGTTGAGTTTTTCCTTAATGTTGGTATATAGTCCATGTCATTGCTATCATCACTGGTGGCAAATGGGTCAGTCTCACATTTAGAAGGCATAAAATCATTCCCTATAGTATTTGAGGACTTTGATGTGAAGTCAGTATTTTGTAGAACAGTTTTCTCATATGTATCTCCACCGTTCAATTCAACTACAGCGGGACTAATGATCTTAAGGATTTCATTGGATGGAAATTCCTCAATGGTTACAGAGGATTTTGGAGGAAGTAAGTTGAACTTTCTCAAGGCATCAAAAAAAGAGGAGGCTGTTGGGTGATACTGTCCTGCATCAGTTGAGCTATGCTTCTTGCCGAAGAAGGTATTTTGGGAACATCATCAGCTTGGTTGTTCGAAGTTGTTGATCCCCCATCATCTTCTTGTACATATTCTAGAATCAAATTGGACATTATAAATTAACAGAAAGCAACACGAACGAATGTGGGAAAATTTTTGAGATCCACCTACAGAAAATAATAGTCGGGCTAATAATTGTTTAGCTATAATCCTATAACCCAATCAGTTTTTCCTTCTTATTCCTCTTCGAGTCACCCTCAAATCGTCTTTTGTAGATTATAACTTTATAGTTTATACATTCTTGCCTTCTGTAATAGCCGCTCCAATTTTTTGTTTGGCATTCGGAGTAAACGATGTAGATGAGCTCCTTTTCTCTTGATGTTGTATGCCTACAAATCATACCCATACACAATTCGGGAATTATTAAAACTTAATTTATTGTCTCACCAGCCTTCTGATTTTTTCGGGGCCACCATTTGTATCATTTTTAAAGTTCTAGAATTCATTGTGACCGCGATATACAAAATAATATCGCTACTTTTAAAGAAGTTACCGTATTGCAGAAGTATTCTATGTCCACAGCTACTATGTACTTGGTATACAAATGCTAATACAGAACTAGCTTATGTCCATACAAAGCGTAGACTTAGCATACGCAACCGCCAAGGGATTGTTCTGCACTGAATCTCGGAACGCGTCGCAAGTTGGGATATTTGCATAATAAACGCGGTAGAGGGGATAACGTGTTGATATTATAGGCTAGTTCTGCAGCCAAATCCGGCATGGGCCGTAGCATCCCATGGTGTTGTTAATGCAAATTCGGCAAAAATGGACTTGGGCTAGTTCTGCATTCAATGAGCGAAATAGTGTCTTATTGTTTCTCAATAAAATTTTATATTTTTATACTACCGCACGAACTTATTTGGTTACCTGATAGTTCAAAGACCTGGCCTCGGTTAGTGATAAGTTACTAGAACTTACATTATAACTCCTTCACCTCTAATTTTGTTGAAACGATAACTCCCGACTTTTCTACGAAACCTAGTAGCACTTTCATTGCTGGATTAATTACTTGAGTATGATCATAAAACTACTGTGTACAGCCATTGATTAACCAGGTAACCTAATTCTGCATTCGCGCGTCCAAAGAATTAGCTCAGATAGTGGTGGCAGATACTTCTGTGATTTAGTAACTGATTATTCTAAAACACGAATAATGACTGTTACCAACTGCCGTGAAATACGTGACATGATCACGACTTTGGGAACTAGGTGCTCCACGGCAACAGCGAATGGCATTATGCGATCATGGCGTTATCGTTTGAATGTGCATGATATACGCATGCGCGCTGGCCGATAAGGTCAAGAACGTATACCCCCGTCCTACAAGCGATATCGTGCCTTATAGGCCTTGGTCGCTGGCTCCTTGCGATTTCATCGCGGTATTTTGCTCAGGACAATAGTATACCCGTAATCTCAACGCTATTTAAAAGTCGTTGATCCCGTCATGGTCTTAAATCAGTGATATATATGACAGATATTAAAGAATAATGACATCTGTCATCTCTATCTAAGATGAAATGAGATAACGTAGCGTCATCTGTAAGAACTTGTAACAACTATGTTTCTCTTCTTCGCAATAATTAGAAATCTGCTTTGGAAAGATTAGTGTTTCGTGGATGACGCTGTAGCTAGGCTGTAACGCAATCTATGTTACACCAAGCTTATTAATAAGCTGCGAGGGTGCTCCCCAAGACCTTTTGATTCACGTTAGTGGTACCTACCAGCATGAGGGCCCACAAACATTTTCTTCTACGACGGAGGCGGGGATTTCGGGAGAGGGTGGGGCTCGATTGAGTTTCCCCAAGTTTTTGTATCTATAATTATGTCAGCCCCTAAAATTCTCCCAGGAAGGCGGGGGAGAATCTCAAAAATCTTAAATATGATGCGCAAATTCTTGCTAATTATGCAAGTCTTATGAGGTAGTCGGATCGTCAGGGCGTACATGCCTAAATGTGAAAAATGTAATTGTAAAGTTGGCTTAAGAGCAAAATTTCAATACCGGCAGATTTAGACTTCAATAAGATAAGATAGGACATACAAATTTTGTGCGAAATTACCTTGCCAGATCTGAATCATAGAGATGTCTCCCCACCTTGAACGTATTCCACCGCCGCTCATCAATTGTCATCAGGCATTTGCTCTTAAAAGCACTGCTAAAGCATGCTTCAATGTTCAATCACTGCTATATCGCCCCCCCACCTCAAGACGAACATCTTCTTGAAGATAAATCCTGCGACCCTCACTACGCCCTCCGCCCTAGACAGATTCCTAAATCTGCCAGGACAGGACTGGGAGAGAATCACTGAGGTCCCGTATTTGATAGATAGAGAGAGAGAGAAACACCTATGTTAGACTAGGAGCGCGAATGGAGCGTGCTCGATACCAAAGACAATGAGTCCGTGGATGCTTGATTCGCGCTATTGCTCTAACATACGTGTTTCTCTCTGACTTTCTATCTTGCATATGTCCTTGTTGCTTTGTATCGATTATAAAAGAGAGCGCATTTGAAGGTAGGTTTTGCAGAATATAGGAGATTTTCAAACGTTTCAAGTTGAAAGAAACTATCCTAGTATTTAGAGAAAATTTGGAATGGAGTCTAGTTTTTTACTTTAAAACGATGCGACAGCTTATGAAAATGGCGCATCCCAACAGATGTTACAGGTCACCAATGAAAAGTAAAGGGCACACAAGTAAAAACATTTATTTTTTGAAATATAGTATCAGAGGTTCTATACATATATTTACACAACATACTGAAATAAGCAACTATAAGACTAACATACACAACCACAAAAATGCAAATTACTGTACATAATAGAATGAAACTCAAATCTTTTTTATTGCATATACATTTTGGATACGTCACAATAATTTACTGGACGATAGCGCTGTTTATCTTTAGTTTAAAGAAAGGACATATCAGCCAACATAACAGGAAATATTTACCAAGTTCTAGGATCTCAACGTACTTGTACAATATTACAGTTCACCATTTTTTCAGACGTACAATAGCTAAAGACGCTATTTTAGTTAATGCTTGCTTGATACATATAATGCTCTAATGTGAAATAACTGTTAGATAGATTGTAAAACACAAGTTCCTAAATTTTAGATGCGAATGGTGAAACTGAGAAATGTACAGATTCCATAGAACTTGAGAAACCATTATTCTATCGATTCATAGGTTTATCTTTCTCTTGCAGCTTTCTTATAAAATGCTGCGTCAGTAGATATTATAAGCAACTAGTTATTTTTTCGAGATCAATTTCAAGCACGAAAACGGATTTACATTACAAGAAAAAATTCACAACAAACGGAAACAGAAAGTTTCTGTGGGTGCAACTCATATCTTTTTGGCAGTCTTCAAAAACGAAGCCTCAAAAGATTATGATAGTATTGTATCTTTGCTAGAATATCTTAAGAACATCTTTCCCCTTCTGATGTTTTTGTGTAAATAAAGGAAGCATAACTACTCAAAACGTGCTCAGAGGTAAGGATCCAGTGGTCTCCAAAATATGTTGAAATATATACGATTAGTTTAATCATATTAGACAAAAATACCCCTGGTTTGCGAAGTACTTGTGAAGTCTGGTTTTATTGCTGCTAGTTGTTCAAGAGAGTATTTAAAACATGGACGCATAAAATAGGTACACCAATCTCAAAAAAGAATGAGAAAACGTGCAATTAGGGATTCAATCGAAAGTGTTGGCAGAAATGAAAAACTCTTTATATAAGATTTTTAGGTATCTATGAGACCTACAAAATGAGTCAACATATAAAAAGATACGACTAGTAGAAAAAAGTTATGACCGAAAACCGAGGGAAGCTGCAGGTTTTGGTGCTTATTGTTAATGTAACGATGGTTTCTGGCAGATGGTTAAAGTTTTTCAAATTTGTACTTCTAAATAACCACAACAAAATTGGAGCAGATTGGTCAAGTAGTTTTTGAGAATTTCTAATTGTTTATTGAAATTCAAATTCAAATTCAAAATACATTTATTTGCCAAAAAACAAAAACAATAAAAACATTATATTTACCGTATTATAGAAAATACACACACTTAATAATATTTTTGT